AGTCCACTAACCTAACCTAACACTATGTAATGATATTTAGTACCAAACAATATTTGACAAACTGCTTTGCTAAATAAAAAAAAAAGCAATGATGCTATTGTTGTGTGCTGTTGAGTTGGAGCCGACCCATAGCTGACATTCTACTGGGTTGTCAGAGGCAGTTAATTGCGTGGGAGAAGATTGCCCATCTTTTCCAGAGGAGTAGGTAGTGGACTCTAACTGCATGCCTTCGGGATTGCAATGCAGCTTCTTACCACTAGGCCATACCAGCTCCCTGTAACTTATCTTAATAATGCATAACAGAAGAAAAATTACATCACCTCTCCTCAGATACAGAAGCATCATTTGATGAAATTTGGCATATTTTATGGTTAAGAAATTTAGCCCCAGGAAACAGAGGACATGTTCTTACTAAGAAAAAGCAATTTATCTACGAAAAAAGATATGAGACAAAGACTCTCCACTACCACTACTTCTCTTCAACCTTGTAGAGGGTGTCTTAGCCATTCAAAAAGAGAGAGAGAAAAATTAAAATTCTAAAGATCTGAAAGTAAGAAATAGCTTTGTCATTATTTATACCTGTGAATATGAAATTTCTCTAAGAATGAATTTATCAGTCACAGGAAAATACAAAAATGAATTGAAATTTTATATACCAACAAAATCACATGAATATTACATTTAAAACATAATATCACTCAAATAGAATGATTAGTAACATATTTAAAAAGAAGGATATGCACACAATCTACAATGAAATCTATAAGTTATTTTTGGGAAAAACTTAAAAGTCCCAAATAAATGGAGAGATAGAGTTTGGTTTTGTGGTTTAATTCTAGATATTATAGAGATGCTATCTTTGTCACTTTGATCTATAGATTTATTCCCAGTCAAAATTCTAGACATGTTTCCTTTTAGATCAACAAATTATAAAAGATATGTTTGAATTGTAATTGTAAATATATATAAAGACACAAACTTCAGTTTGACAGTTTATACATGTGTAAATGAATGTCATTGTTTACATTCTTTGAGTGGTAATCCCCATCATTCTCACTCTCCTTTTATGTTTCCGTCTCCAATGAACATAAACAGCACTACCCCTTAAGGTGCCTGTGTACCTCAATAGCTGTTCTTTGAATTGTTGTGATAAGTTTGATCCCATAGAGATATACCTTAAAAGAGTAGAATACTCAAGGCAGATATTCTTTACAGTTAATCTAAACTATTATTTCTCTTTGAGATGTTTTTAAGGAATACTTTTCATTTATATTTTAGAGATTATTTCAATGAGATAGTTTCAGAGTTCATCCAGACTCGATGTCCCCAGAAAGCTTGACAATTTTGTTAACTGTAAAATAAATGTATCTAAAATACATTTAGATAATAGTAATTAGAATAATTGTAAAATAAGTGTATCTAAAATAAATTCAATAACAATGGGATAAGAATAGCTAAAGGAATCTTTAATAAGAATAAACTTGGAACAAAACATACTTCATTATATAATGAACTTATCTAATAAAAACCTACTGTAGTCATAAAGCAATCAGAGTATTATCGGACAAGAATAGGAAAATTTATCAATGGAATAAAATGTAGATTACAGAAATAGATGCACATATATACAATTTCCTAAGCTGTGAACAAAAAATGGACAAGTAAATGGTGCTGGGACAATTGCATTTCAACATGGAAACTCTCCCTGACTCTTGACCTTTACTTGTCATGAACAGAAATCAATTTCTGAGAAATTATGGTAAAGTGGTAAGAAGCTGCACTGTAATCCTAAAGACATGCAGTTGAAGCCACCAGCTGTTCCACAGGGATAATCTCCTCCCCTGTGATTTGCTGCTTATAAAACCCTCTGGAAGGTCAGCTATGAGATGGTTCTGACTTGACAGCATACAACACCAGCAACAACAAAACTTTTAAATGAAAATACAGGAGAATATTTTAATACAATTAGAGTAGAGAAATCATCTGCAATCCCAAATGGCCAACTATAAATTAAATATAATAAATTGGATTAGGGAATTCTGGTGGCTTAGTGGTAAGACATTTTGCTGCCAAACCAAAGGGATTTGATTTGAATTCACCAACTGCTCCATGAGAAAAAGGTGGACAATCTCCTTCTGTCAGATTTGTTGCCTCTAACAACTTGCTGTAAGGTCAGCTATGAGTTGGTTCTGACTTGACAAAGTACAAAACAACAAAATTAAACTGGATCATATTAAAATGAAAAATTTCTCATCAGAAGACAACACTAAGAGAAAAGAATAATAGGATAAGGGAAGAAAAAGTATTCAACTTTACTGTTCATCAGGGACATGTAAAGATGGCCAGGATAAAATCACTACTCATGCACCAGAAGACTAAAATTAAAAAGATAGAAAATACCAACTGTATTTACCTTATATAGCGATTGAAACTCTCACTTCACCAAAAATTACACTTTTGATGGTAATATGTCTTTCTATGGCCACTTTGGTAAACTGCTTAGAATTACTTCTTAAAATGGATTATATGCATAACTACACCGTGGACTGCCAAAAGAAAAACAAGTATGTCTTCAAGGAAATGCTCCTTAGAGATAAGAATGGTGAAACTTTGTCTTTCATACTTTGGACATGTGGCCAGTAATAGCCAGTCTTGGGAAAATGCACTATGCTGGGAAAAGTTAAAGAGAAGAAGATCCTTAATGATGAGACGGATTGACATAGTGACTTCAAGAATGGGCTTGAACATGAAGGAGATTATGAGGATGGGGCAGGAGAGGTTCAGATCTGTGGTTATAGAGTGGCTATGAGTCATAGTCAACTCTCCAGTCCCTAACAGTAACAGCAACAGTCCAGCAGAGCTATCCCTAGGTATATACTAAGCTAAAATATTAATAATCTCCAAGCAAGATGACATGAATACTTATAAGTATACAATGAAAATATTCATAAACCAGGTCATTAAAATATCTTTCAACACTATAATGTTCCAATAAATTGTACATTTAAACTGTCAAAAATGGTTTAGTATTTAGATAGAATAATGTATAAGGACACAAAACATGGATTAGCTGCACAAATAGAGTATAAAAGTATATATGGTATATTGTTTGTGTTGTTGTTGAGTACCATCAAGTCAGAACTGACCCATAGCTGACCTTCCGGAGAGTTTTCAGAGGCAATTAATTACATGGGAGGAGATTGCCCATCTTTTTCCTGCAGAGCAGCTGGTGGATTTGAACTGCATGCCTTTGGGATTGCAGTGCAGTTCCTTACCCTTAGGCCACCAGAACTAAGGCACAAAAGAAGACAAAAGTGCTTCATGGTATTAGAGTATTAGGATAGAGATTACCCTCTAAACTATCATAGGTCTTTCAAAGAGACCTATCATTGCTCTTTTCTTGATTGCCTTCACTATGAAAAAATTGATCATGCTGTGTTCTTAAGACGTCAGCACATTTCAGTATGTATGTCATACTTTAATAAAAATGTTAATCTAAAGTAAAATATCATTATTTTTTATTATTTTACTATATTCCTGCAGATTCTTTAATAAGAGGAGATAAAAATAAATTTTGAAGAATCTGCTTAAAATCTTAGAAAACAAGCAAAAATTATTTCACAGCTATATATATGAATGAAAAAAACAACTGATTAATGCTTACAAACAATTAAGTTGTATCTAATTGATAACTTAAAGATTACACAAAATAATAGAATAAAACTGACCCATAGAAGAGTCTCTCTGCAATGTGGTAGGAAGTGTAATTGAAGACAGTCTGTAATCTGATGCTTAGGATGGAAGACGTTGTACCAAATCTATGCAGGAGTGAAGAGAAGAGTAGGACAGTGTTGTTGACAGACATGTGAGCCAGTCTTCTCCACCTTACTCCAAAATAGCATTATGAGTTTCTAAGACATCTGTCTCCTCATCTTTGTCATTTCAATCTATGCTATTTGGGAGTGACTGTATAATATGGGAGGTTGTTGTGTTTGTTGTTAGGTGTGTGAGTTGTTAGGTGAGTTGAGTATGACTCACAGTGACCCTACGAACAATGAACCTGAACCCTGCCCTGTCTCGTGCCATCCTCATCACTTCTGACACACTTGAGTCTATTATTGCGATCACTATGCCAATCCATCTCATGGGGGGGAGGTCTTCCTTTCTTTCATGGACCTGCCATCTTCCCAAGCATGGTGTCCCTTTCCAAGGAATAATCTGACCTAGCTACATGTACAAAGTATGAGAGATGAAGTTTCACCATCTTTGTTTCCAAGGAGCACTCTGGCAGGAGAAATAATAAAATTCCATTATTATCAACTCGTCAGATATCTTGCTGAAGTACAATAATTCTCTTTTTGGTATTTATTATTGATACTACAAATGATAACTTTTGATGTTGAGATATAATCTATATTGAAAGCTATAGTCCTTAATCTTTTGCAGCAAATGCTTTAAGTCTTCCTCACTTTCTGCAAGCCAGGTTTATTAAATGACAAACTTAAAAAATAGACATTTATTTTCTTAGAGTTTAAGAGACCAGCAGTCCAAATTTAGGGTACGAGTTCTCTTTCTTTTCGTTGTAGAGCAAAATACTTGTTTACTTCAGTGTCTCTAGGCCTGATATTTTTTAAAGTTCTACCTGTGGTTTGGCCTTCCTTGGTATCAAGGAGTTTCATGGTGAAGGAGTCCAGGTCAAAAAAGGCACTCTCCACCCTTGGTGACTGTTTCTTGGTGATACTAAGGGCTTATCATATCCCACTCCCTTTGTTTTCTGGGTTCACTTTCCTCTCCACTTATGTCAGAAGATATTATTGGTCATATCTTATGGAAATTCACTTTACATCTCATTAGAGTTGCAGCAAGATAAGGGAGTGTGGAATTCTACCCTTAATAAAATAACTGTTTGGTCTAGCAGATCATGGAGTATCATTACATATCTTTCACCTTGTATAATTATATAAATGTATTTTGAGGGGACACCTTTTAGTCCATAATCCCTACCATCTCTCTGTGAAATACTGAAGATATTTTTTCAAACTCCTTTTGATAGCTGTTTTTACCTCATTGTTTTTCAGGCTGTAGATGAGAGGATTCAGCAGGGGAGTGATCACGCTGTACTGCACAGAGAAGATCAACTCCAGTGGTGAATCAGAATTTGGTGTACTATAGCGTAAAACAGCTGAACCATAAAACAGGAGCACTGTGGTGATGTGGGAGAAGCAGGTGGAGAAAGCTTTTCTTCTACCTGTAGAAGAACTGATGCTCAGAATGGTGGAGACAATAAAAGTGTAGGAGAAAATTATTAGAACACAGGTTCCAAGTCCATGCAAGAGACTGGAGCAGAGCATAACAGTAAAGTTGATGGAGACGTCAGAGCAAGACAGAGGGAAGAGTGAGGGCAGCTCACAGCTGTAGTGGGGAATGCACTGATTACCACAGAAGTCCAAGTCCATAGCTAGAAGGATGTTAATAAATGCATCCAGAAACCCCAGGACCCAGGAGCCCCAAACTAGTCCCTTACAGAGCTGGTTACTCATTATCTGTCCATAGAGCAGAGGGTAGCAGATGGCAACATAGCGGTCATAGGCCATCACTGAAAGAAGGCAGGCTTCAGTGCCCCCAGAATCTGACAGAAAGAAGACTTGAGCCAGACAGTCCTTCACAGAGATGATTTTCTTCTGTGACAGGAGATTCTTCAGTAGGTTGGGCACTGTGGCAGAGGAGAAGCAAAAGTCCAAGAAAGACAGGTGGCTCAGGAAGAAATACATGGGTGTATGAAGGTGAGAATCTGTCCTGATGACCAAAAATATTACTAGGTTCCCCAAAAGAGTCATGAGGTATACTATCAAGAACAAAACAAAGAGGAGAGCCTGGGCATGAGGGTCAGCAGATAGTCCAAGAAGGATGAACTCGAAGATGGTACTGTGATTCCTCACATCCATTTAGAATACAAACTTAGAAAACAAAAACAGACTTGTAACCTCTGTTGACTATATCCAGTTATCAGAAGGGGGAAATCTTCATTCCAACTGGTGTAGATTTAATAAACTCCTTATTGATTCTGCTCTTTTAAAACATCTTATTGTACTTTGAGTTATGTCTCATTGATTATTTAGTGTTGGTTGTCCCCCCATCCACAGTGATATTCTACTTTACTCTTTCTTCCTGGGCCAAGTTTATCATAATATGTTCCTGTAGCTGGCATTCTATTTCTGAGATTGTTGAAGAAATTGATAACATTTTCCATTCTAGGCCATGAGTAATTTATTTCTTTTAACTGAAATTGTGATCAATAATATTGTTTACACTTTGTTGAGTCTCATAGACTTCCTCTAGGATGTCATAAAACTTGTCTTTTCTTCTCTGTTCTCTGTATTGTAATCACATTTAGAATCTTCCAGAGATGCATGCATGCTATTAATCATAGTCTTTTAGTGTGTTCACAAGTTCTTTTTCACATACATTGTTAATTTCCTTTCTGGAACTAAGATGTACCTGCAAGTATAAGAATGCATGTTTTTGTGTCTGTATGAGATGGCCTGTATTTGCATACTAAAGAATGATACTATAGGAACAAAAAGGGAGGTAGCTGAATCCATTTTGAAGACATTAAAATTGATTATCAGAAGTTATATAACATAACCAAATTCCCAATTTGAGCAATCAGAATTTGACTTCTCTACAGAGGACTCCAAGATTATAAGGTGCTGTCAAGACTTGCCAATGAATGTCTTCTAATTTTACAAGTGGACCTTGTTTACACATTACCCTCCAGACAGTCTTAACACTGATGAGTAATTTGTTCCTGAACCTGAAGAACATCCTTCTTCGTCAGCCTTTTCTCATGCATCTGCTCTGTCTGTAATACATTACCTTTCTATCTAAATTTTATCTATATTTTGACTCTCACCTTAAATATGTCTTTTCCTTCAGATCTTCCTTGATTGATTTCTTATCTGAACTTACTGTAGTATGCACAAACAGAAGTTTTTCTTTTTAAGTGCATAGTAAGTGCTAGGCAACTTTAATTTAGAAATTAAGAGCAGTTTTTAATGTAGCACCCAGAGCCTAATTCTCTTCATAGACACTTTCCTCATGTCTAGCTTGAATCATAATCTGAGTCTATGCCCTCATACTATACCTTTCAGTAAGCCTCGGAGGGTGACTTCCCATAACCCTCTGTCTAGTTTCTTTGACCTCTTAATCTCTCCTCTATTCTTCAGCTTTACCTTAATACCACAGGGTCTGACCTTGATGTTGCCCAGTGGACTCACAAGAACAAGTAAAATTTCTCTAAGCTACTCACTTTATCTATGTTGTCCTTCTTATTGGCTCCAATTCTATTGAACGTGCACAAACTTTCCAAACTATAGAAACAACTTAGATTCAGTTTACCGGTTAGTTCTCCTGAGAAGACAATAGCATAATTCAGCATAGCTGCCTCAAAAATTCAGCCATGAAGGAGAATATTCTACTAGAAAAGATTTCTTTTTACAAAGTTTTTCCTGTATCTGTATAACTCACATTTTATTGGAAGTAAGCATTTTTCTGGTATCAGTAGTCAAATAAATATGTAAATTGAGGCTAGTCTCTTAAAAATACATGAATGTTCCTAAAGTTAGAATTTTCTATGTGAATTAAGCAAATAGTTACCTCAATTCTCTCACATTTACTCATTGTTCACCTTGTGTCACTTACTCATACAAAAAGGGATCACAGGCCTCCAATTCACAAGGAAATTTCAATGATGACTAGAAGTAGTTGGAGAAGAGATGTCTAGGCTTCTTCCAGAGAGAAGAGGGATCGATGTAGACGCTACCTTAGGATGATTCTCTTCATGGGAATCTGGAATGTCAATATAAGAACCTTTCTTATAAGGGCCCTAATTTTATCTCTTTTTAACCTTGCTTTATAGATATGTCATCAAGATGTTTAATTTTGTGAGGTTAAGTGTCTTCCTACTCTGGAGGCTTACTGGTGAGGAGTTGCAAAATCACACAGTTCAAATCTACCATCTTCTTTATCAGAGAAAGATTGTTACTCTCCTCTGCTGTGAATTACAGCCTTTGAAAACTCACTGGAAGATCAGCGATGAGTCAGTTCTGACTCAATGTTGCATAATAACAACATAATGCTCCTTCACTGGAGATTTAGTCTATTATAATAGATATATACTTAAACATAAAGAAGCACTTCAAACATGTCACAATATTAACATCACCAGGATTACTAGATAATGATGATAGTAATGGCAATAAAGATGATATTGCTAAACTCCATCCCAAACATTTAATTATTATTAAGTTATTTATTTCCTCATAAAAATCCTAGGAGATAGTAATCAATTTTAACCCTATTTTCTTAAAATAATACAAAAAAATAGTTGAGGAATTGAGGCAAAAAGTGGTTAGCAAACATGGTCAAGGTCCAACAAACAACAAAGTGTAGGGTTATTATTTGATCTTAGGAGGTTTGAAATGTGTCTTATCATCTCCTTTCAAATAATAGAGGAGTCTGGGAGGTAGTCCTACAGAAATAAAGATATAAAATAAGGTATTAAAACTTTCTTTACAGTGCATCTAAATTCCAAAATCAATCTCCTACTTCCAAAGGGGCCCTTTAGAGTAGTGAGAGAAGATCTTCACCCTGAAACCCACAGTGTCCCTTTTTAGCAGGAAGTAGCTAAGAGAATACGCCATCCCCTTTTCCTTATGAATCAGGGTGAAGTCTCTCTCAGGGAGGAGTGATAGGAATAGCAAAGGACACACTGACAAAGGAGATTAATCGGAACTGGCTTTGACAAGCACTGTGGCAATTGGACAATTAAAACAGACTTTTGTGGGGTGGGGAAGAAGAATGAACTGGGGAGGAGGGTAGAGAAAACAGTGTAACAATGAATGAATGAAAACTCAAAATCTCTGTAAATGTTCACTAAAACTAACAAAATTTAATAATAATTAAAAACAAAACAAAAACAAAAAAAAGAAAAAAAACTTTCTCGGCCTCAAATGTATTTACTAAAAATGTTTGTTACTTATTCGTATTCCAGGAAAAATTTGTTACTGAGAAGGGGAAGAAAGATCCAGTGTTTCAACATAAGAATGCTATATATTATCAGTAATGAAGAAATTTTGATCTTTAAAGCAATGTAGAAACCCCGTAGGATCTAGTAGGAGCTTGGATTGAGGAGAAGTAGTGAAAGGATAAAGGTGTAGAATTTTAATATCACTGAGATGAAATTTTTGTTTAAATATTCCTGTTTTTTAACCCTTTCCTCATGTGTTTTAACATACATTAGTTTGACACATTTTGAAGTTGATGGGTTTTATTTACTATTTTCTTTTTTTATTGTGATTTTAATAAAAGTTTACAGAAAAGTTTGATTTTCATTCATTCATTGTTGCATCTTTTCCTCCCTACTCCCCCAGTTACTTTAATATATATATATATTCATTCATTTTTGCATAATTTCTTTCCTTCCCACCCCACATTCCCCCAGTATATTTGCTGTACACTTCTTATTCTGAACTGTTCCATTACAAATAATGCCTAATCATATTTTCCCTTTAAATAGTTCTTGCCATCATCTGTTCCAATGCAGGGTTCATTATTTATTCTCTCTTTTCTTAGTTTCCCCCTGTCCCCCATGTCAGTGCTGTTTTTTATAACAGAGGTGTTTTATGGTATTTGTCCTTTTATGACGGAGATATTTGCTGAGGGAAACTATCTCAGTCACATTTTGAAGTTTATGTGAGTTAGCAAAAGCGGAAAATTGAACTTCCTATGGCAAATATGGCTGAAAAAGATACTAGAAAAGGACCAGCATCCACTCTGCCATACGTTGTCTACTTTCCCCCTGACTGTTATATTTCCAGATGTTGTTACCTAGCCTTCTTTGGATTCCTAGGGCTGAACTAATGTAGACCTTGAACCCAGAATTAATAAAATCCCTATTTAAATGTCAACATGGAGACTAGAAAGATTTTCCAAGAAAACTTCTCAGAGTAATTGAGAATATTGACTCAAGTTTGTGAAAAATATGATAATCTACATAGGCATGGTTGTGTCATCTGCATAAAGCAGATTCTTGATGAATCTTCCTCCAATCCTCATGCCATGTTTCTCCTCATAGAGCCCAGCCTCCTGGGTAATCTGTTCTTCATATAGATTGAAAAAGTATGAAGATAGGACATATCCTTAGTGTACACCCTTCCCAATTTAGAACCATGCTGTGTTTCCTTGCTCTGTTCTGATAATTCCTGGTCCAAGTATAGGTTTCGTATAAGCACAATGAGATGCTCTGGGATTCCCATTCTTCTTAGAGTAGCCTTTGCATAGTGAATAAAACACATATAGACATTCCTCTGATATTCCCCACTTTCTACCAAGATCCATCTAACATTAGCTACAATATCTCTAGTACCATGAAAATGAGGAGCACCCAAAGTGCTGGCTGCAGAAGGTCAAGGACTGCAGCCTTCAATATGGATTGAAGCTCAATATCAAGAAAACAAAGATTCTCACCTCTGGGCCAATTGGTGATAGATGATGAAGAGATTGAGACTGTTAACAGCTTTAGTTTGCTTGGTCCCACAATCAACACTTTTGGTACCAGTAGCCAGGAAATGAAAAGACAAATTGCATTGGGAAAGTCTGCTGTCAGAGACCTCTCCAAAATACTGAAGAGCAACGACATCAGTCTGGAGACCAAGGTGTGCCTGATACAGGCCATGGTCTTTGCAATCACTTGCTTTGCATCAGAGAGTTGGACAATGACTAGAGATGATAGAAGGAGAATTGATGCCTTTGAGCTGTGGTGCTGGAGAAGATTATTGAATACACCATGGACTGCTAAGAGAACAAATAGGTTTGCTCTGGAGAGGGTGAAACCAGGCTGTCAAGGATTCTGAAGTTTCATCTGACATACTTTGGACATGCTACA